TGTGCGTATACAACTTGTGGAAGGTTCGCACCTTGCAGTACCAGCTCCACACAACTCAGAAGAAGCGCAAGCTGGCAGAAGGGCTCTACACCGAGGAGGCTGAGGACGAGGACAGGATCCCTCATGACTGGGAAAACTATCTGGACCGCCTCCTCACATTGCTTGTTGCCTACGCCATGGCGGGAGTGACCCCCAGGGCTAGTGTGCGGGATGCTTCTGCGGAGAAGACCCTTGGCGCCGACTCGACAACCTTCGTGGAGGTGCCGCTGGATGTCGTCATGCAATATTTCTACAGAGCGAAGCGCCAGTCAAGTACGCTGCCGTTGTCACAGAGGCTAGCCTGGCTGGAAGCTCGTGACCTTGAGGATCGATGGCTCCAAGATTTGTCAGGCCTTCCAACATGGACAGTGCAAGAACCCCAAAAGCTCCTGCCCCCAAGGTCAGCACAAGTGCGGTATCGTGGTCCGTGGTGAACGCATTTGTGGTATGCCGGGGCATGGAGCCATCCAATGTCGGGCGAAGATTTCGCCATGACGGGGCCCAGCGGGAGAGGCGGGCACTTCTGCTGGGCAGGATGAGGCAAGACCCGTAGACAGAGTCAACTGTCAGCTGCCACGGATCGCGGACCTTTATGCGGGGCCTAATACACCTCTGTCCAAAGCCTTCATCTTTTGCGGTTGGGAGACCATTTCAGTGGATTGGATGTTGGACAGTAGCCATGACCTATCCAATAGCCTCAGGCAGCAATCGTTGCATGAGCAGTTACAGTCAGTGTGCTTCATTGCAGCAGCTTTGGATTGCTCCACCAAGAGCAGAGCGAGGGAGATTCCGCGTGACTTTGGTGATGGGCGCCCACCACCCCGGCCGTTACGATCTGAGAGACACCCGCTGGGTCTCCCTGAGTTGACAGGGTCTCAGCTGGCACGGGTGGAGCAGGACAATGCGGCTGCGAGCTTCGTGCTGTCCGAGATCGATCAGCTGGTGGACAGGGGTGGTGGATCAGTCCGCGAGAACCCATACAACAGCCTCCACTGGTGGACGCCAGATGAGGTGGCGATGTGGGAGAGCGGTCGCTGGTCAGATCAGCGGTATTCAGCTTGCTGTTTTGGAGGTGCCAGAGCAAAGCTGCAGCGGCTGCGCCACAACATCGCGGAGATCGCCCAATGGCCCAGAGCTGACTGCAACCATTTTCATGATCCCCAGGAATGGGAACCTTGGGTGCAGAATGGTAAGCGCCATTTCCCTTCAGCTGAGGAGTCCGAGTATACAGCAGAGCTATGTTTTGCCATCGCCACGGCAGCATCGTGGTGGGCAGTGCGTGTTGGCCATGCCAAGCTCTATGTGCCGAGGTCCCCATCACCGAGCTGCACTGGCCATCGGGACCATTGGCTTGACCTCGATCCCAGAGCACTTCGTGAGTGGGCTATGACTCCACTAGCCATCAGCCTGGGTTTGAGACCCTTGGACACAGCTGAAGCAGCTAGGGTGCCCACGAGAGCATGTGTTGAGGATGTATTGCAACAGGGTGCACTTCCCCCCGGTCATGTGTATGTGGGGCTAGGAAGTCATACTCACCGCCTACCGACCACCAAGTGGAAGTCTCCATGGCAGGTGGGAGTGAATTGCACCCCTCAAGACTGGGTCCCCTACTACGTCCAATACATCAGGGAGACACTCTGGTGCGAGTTGGATGAGCTCGAGGGCTCAGTGCTGGTCTGTGATTGCCCAGCGGCCCAAACTTGCGAGGCTGACCTCCTCGCCGGGTTGATTTTTGATCGCTTGAGTGCGCAGGGCCCTCGGGGGGCCCCACAAGTGGTCCAAGGACAGCATGGCAGGAGTCACAAGGGAGTTACCCGAAGTGTCCTCTTGTCGAGTGTCGCGCAGGCTACAGGCATCCCTTTTGGGCCATTCTACATTCTGCAGGAGTCCTTGGCGTTAGCTTTCAAGAAGCTTTATCCGGGAGAGTGGTTCGAAGGAGTTGCCATCCCCTTTGTGGAGGACTTAGTGAACCAACACCCACTCGACCTGTATGTGCGATGGCGCCACCAGCAGGGGATGGACATGGAGGGCAGCTGCAACCCCGTGTTGGCAGCCCCTTCAGTGCGGCAGAAGATGAGGACAGCAGAAGGTCAGCAGGTGGGAGCCATCAACCACAGAGCGGCGTTAGCCCCTCTTCTGCCCTTCCACCTTCAGCCAGACCAGCACTTCGAGCAAGCCCTTCAGCTCAGCATGCAACCTTTGCCTACTGAGGGGCTTCCCATTTTGGACGATGACCTGAGGTTTGCCGCATCTTTCTCCAGCCTGCCAGGAGTTGACCTGCGTAGGTTGCGAGAGCGCTCCATGGGCATCTTATCAGAGGTGAAGAGGCGGTGGAGCTCGATCACGGCCCATTTGAGAGGCAAACAGACTGAGGCCATCCGGACAGCAACATTGCAACGAGATGTCGGTTTCACAGCAATTCTCCTTCTTGTGGCCAATTGGGGCGATGTGACACTGCCAGCAGGCCTGTGTATGGGGCTTCCAGCAGTGGGATATGCGCCGCCATATGGCATTTTTCCAGAACAAGTTGCCACCCGTCTGACGCGGGATGACGTACTCCAGGACTGGCAGAGCCACAACAACACCATTTTGGCTAGGCTCAAGCCAGGCGCCGATGATGAGTTTTTGTTGCAGCAAAGCCTCAAAGATGCCGAGAAGGGATTTTGTGGTTTGCCCATGACTGCAGAGGAGCTGCAGCGTTGTCTGGGTACGGAACCCTATCGGTTAATCCCTCGATGCGTCATCACACAATCCTCTGGAAAGCAACGCGTGATTGACGACGCCTATGTTGGCTTGCAATCTGAGCGATCCAGTGACGCGAACAAGCTCACCCTTTGCTCAGCGCTGCGGCCGGCTCAACACCTGCAGTATGCCTATGCCTTTGGGAGTCCACCCAACTGGGAGGCAGAAGAATGGGAGTCCGGTGGTGAGGATTGGCCAGATGTCTACCGTTTTTGCCCTATGAGTTGGGATGAGGCTTTGTGCTGCATTGTGGCCTTCTTCCATCATGAATGGCAACAACCGGCGTTTATGATTTACACAGGTTTGCTTTTTGGTCTTCCTCTTGCGGTCACATCTTTCAATCGATACAGTCGTTTTGTGGAGGCTTTATCACGTCGATTTGCCTTTTGTTTGACAAGTCTGTATTTTGACGATGCTCACGTGACAGACCGCAAATCTTGCCGAGGATCAGGTCAAAGAGCTATGCAGACCCTCAACACCCTTTTGGGTACTCCCTTTTCCGAGGAGAAATGTCAGAAGATGCAGAATACCGGCACCTTCCTGGGCCTGGATCACGATTTCAGTCAAGTTCACTTGAAGGGTCTGGTTCAGTTTTGGGCCCGTGAGCGCATCGAGACCAAGTTGCTTCACCTCATGCAGACCGCCGAGGATTCCGGCAAGCTGCAACCAGGGGTGGCGGCCAAGCTCTACGGTATCGCCAACTTCTTTGAGCTTGGCGTGTGGGGGCGCATTGGCTGCGGTGGCTTGGCCCCCATCAAGCACAGACAGCAGGAGCGCTCCGCAGAGTTGACTGAGGAGTTGCGCCAATGCTTCGACCTTTTGCGCACTGTCATCACCACCCGTCCCTCTCGCCACATCGAGATCTGGCCACACGCAGGGCTCCGCTTCCTTGCCGCATCTGATGCTGCGTTGGAGAGCCCAGGTCAGGGTACAGGGGGCTTCTTGGTGGTTTGGCATGACGATCACCGGCAACATCGAGAGGCATTTGTTTCTCTCATTCCCCCATTGGTGTACAGCCTATGGGAGCCCGGTGACAAGAAGATTGCCCAGCTAGAGCTGCTGCAGGTTCTCTATGCTTTGTTTTCGCGGCCGTCCAGGTTTCGAGGCAGACGAGGTCTCTGGTTCATCGACAGCACAGCAGCGCTGATGGCATTGATTCGAGGTCGTTCTGACAATGCAGATTTAGAGCATATGTCTCGGTTGATTCACATTACCCTTTTTGGTCTTAAAGCTTGGTTTTTCTGGGAGTGGATCCCTAGTAAGGCCAACTGGTCAGATGAGATCAGCCGTGAAGGCCTCCAGGCAACATGGCACAAACGCCATGGGTTCACCACGCATTTTGCATTTTTCCCCTTCGAGATTTGGTCTCTACCACTTCCCGCGTTTCTCCGGGTTGTGGAGTTTCTCTGAGTGCTTTGGGATTGAAGTGCATTGGGAGAGATTCAACCTGTGTAGCCTCCTGAGTTTACAGGAGTGCGGAACAGGGTGTACGGATCCAACCAGTGCTGCTGTGCAGGAGACTACCTGCACAGCGTTCCAAAGCACTATCCTGCGAGGAGCAGGTTGAGACCGCACGAAGAGTTTGGGAAGAAAAAGCCATGCGGATGTGAGCCTGGATAGAGTGAACCGTTTTGAGTATCTATGCTTTACATCTCACAACTAATGTATGTATGCATCGTGTTTGGCAGGCACTGGGTGTGCATTATCATTAGGGTGAGTATGTAAGCTGATGAATCCATTTTGGCTCAAGTCTGAGCCAAACTGGCTTCATCGTTCTTTCTTTTCCCTCCCTTCCCTCCCTATGAGGTAGGACTCCGGTGGAGTATCCTCCCTTGTAGGGGATCACATCATTGAGGATGCTGATCTCTACGTGGAGTCCCACGACTGTAGCACTGGGCGGGAGAGATTCAACCTGTGTAGCCTCCTGAGTTTACAGGAGTGCGGAACAGGGTGTACGGATCCAACCAGTGCTGCTGTGCAGGAGACTCCCTGCACAGCGTTCCAAAGCACTATCCTGCGAGGAGCAGGTTGAGACCGCACGAAGAGTTTGGGAAGAAAAAGCCATGCGGATGTGAGCCTGGATAGAGTGAACCGTTTTGAGTATCTATGCTTTACATCTCACAACTAATGAATACATATAAATACAGTACATTGCTCTTCACGGGCTCTTGACGAGCACTGCGTTTTCGGGTGTTTTTGTTGCTTTTGACTGCTGCCAGGTATCGTGTGGAGTTTTATCGATCTGAGACTGGTGCTGCTACGGTGTCCTGGATGAAAGAGAGCTGATTTGTCAAAAGAACTTCTGTTTCCGTAAAGCCCAGTGACAACTTCAGACGTTTGTCATCTTCCACCCGGGCTGCGGCAAATACTCACAGCAAGTCTAGATAGTCAAAGCTGTGAACTTCAGCAGCGTCGGGTGAATAGTGCTGTGTGAGATTGGCATGGCAAAGCAGAAAAAATATTTTATTGGAAAGACAGAATATCTCAATATATTTGGCAGTTCTTTACTTAAAATGATCCTGGCAAGAGACCCCAAACGGTGTGGGGGAGTGGGAGGATAATGTATGATGATGTGGATCATGATGATGATGATGATGAGGAGGAGGAGGAGGAAGAGGAGGAGGAGGAGTCAGGATGAGGATGAGGATGAGGATGATGAGGATGAGGATGAGGATGAGGATGATGAGGATGAGGATGAGGATGAGGATGAGGAGGAAAATGTTGCGGAGGATGATGTTAAGGATGATAATGTTGAGGATGATAATGTTGCGGAAGATGAGGTGGAGGAGGATGATATTGCGGAAGATGAGGTGGAGGAGGATGATGTTGCGGAAGAGGAGGTGGAGGATGATGTGGAGGATGATGATGTGGAGGAGGGTGAGGATAAGGATAATTATGCGGAAGATAAAACAGAGGATGAATTTTAAATTTTTGTTTAATAATAAATTAACAAAATTAATTCTAAAAAAGATAGAATCGATTTACTATGTTTAACAATGGGAAATAATAATAATAATAATAATTAATATATTTAAAATTTATTTTAAAAAACATATATAATTCGAAATAATATTATTAATTTTAAAAATAAAAATTGTCAATTTGTGGTATGTGATACTCTATGTAAAGGCTAGGTTGTTACATGTAGTGTTTGCTGCTATTTCGGCTATTAGGGCCCTTGAGCTATATCGGTATCGGTACTAGCAAAAAGAGTCGCAATGGACTGCACGATACCGTTGCTAATTTACATTGGTAGCGGAGCAGGTGACGACCGAAACCGTAGAAATTTGAATCGGATTTGTTCTTGGAATTTTTTTTCCGCTGGAATTGTTTGATCCCTGTGGGACAGACTTGCAATTGGCTGACCTTGGGTATAGGCAGTCCATCGCAAAGGAATGTAGAAATATCAGTAGCTGGACTTAGGTTTGGTTCTGACCGATCCACTGCGCCCCTAGAGACCAAGAGTGGATCATACATATACCATGAGGATGCAGCGCATTATCATGATTGGGAATTCCGGACCCTTTTGCGAATAAAGCTATTTGATTCAAGGAAAGATGTAGAATTCTCCCCAACCGGAAGGAGTGCCGAGCCCGTTGGGCCGGACTCTGAAGCTGATGCAGGGATTTCACCTCACCCGCGCCCAGGCCGCCAAGATGACGAAGCCGGAGCTTCTGCCAGTCGAAGTCCTAAAGGGGATGACACGGGTCGAAATCGCAGTGTCTTAGTCAACAAGGTCGTAGAAGGTCTTCGAGGTGATGCCTTTCTTATTGGCAGAGATCTCGTTTTGGAGACTCTGTTCCAAGAGGAAGGTTTTGAACGATTGGTTGAATAAATCAAAGCCTATATTTTTCCCAGAGCTCAAGAAGAAGCTAAAGAACTCTTCAGAGCAGGGCAGAAAGCCGGTGGAATTTTATCTCGACAACCCCAAGAACCCATGCTGAGCTATACTTAACACAGACGCAGATGGTGGAAAGTATTGACCGACCTTGATCTTTCCATGGTACTTTCAGATGGACTCCGTATGGAGCTTATGCTTGAACTGTTAGGTCTTAGCCGACAAGAGGTACTGGTCGTAAAAGTATGTACCGCCACCAAGGATTTTGAAGGAGTTGCCAAGGTGTTGGTTGATCAGTATTTAGGAATCCATTTGAGGGAAGGATCTAAGTCTTGGGTTGGACGTTTATTTACCCTACAACAATATGGGAAATTTGGTAAGGGATATGGAAGTTCCAAAGGACCCCAAAGTGGTAAAGGTTCCTATAAGACAGCCTATACAATGCCTATCCCGATGAGGAAGGCTATGGTTATGGTGACTATGATGAATACCAAGAGGAATACTATGAAGAGGATGCACCATACATAGGTCTACTTGGTGGGATCGAGGAATACCCAGAACAGTTAAATCCAAATATTGACAATTCCTATGAAGCCTTTGACTTTTATGACGAAGTTGATGAATATGAAGCCACTGCCCTGAATGCACTAGTGGATATAGGAGATAAATTAATTGAAGATAACAAGAGCCTTGGGGAAGCTCTCCAACTCCAACTAGTTGCATTCGTAGCCTTCGGGCGTGTGAAAGGAAAGGGTAAAGCTAAACCCAAAGGAAAGGGAAAGGTCATTAGGTCCAACCTTTCCATCGAACAGCGCAGAAAACGCCTTTCCGAGATCAAGGCCAAGTCGAAATGCCTTCGCTGCGGCGCCTATGGGCACTGGGCAGGTGATCCTGTTTGTAAATTCCCAGGTGCCAAGGGTAGTGCCAGTACAAAGGATTCCAAACCCCTATTGAATAATCCTAAGCCAAGAGCATACTTTGCAGATTTCTCGGATTCATCTTCTGATGAGGGAGTTTTCTTGAGTGCATCATCACCCAAAACACCAGTTGCAAACATGGCCATCAAGAATGCAGCTGCCCCTTCAAAGGCACCCAATTTGGGGCCTCCCACAACTCCTGTAGGCCGAAGTGATTCCACGAGACCCATTGGGAGTAACACGAAATTCAAATTTGGTTAATTTAAGGGAAAGACGTTTTGGGAGATTCTGCATGACCATTCCGATTACTTTGCTTGGACGCAGAAGAACGCCAAGAGTCCAGGAGCCTCAGAGTATGCTGA